AGAGTAATTATAGATACTTGATTAATAAGCTATAGTCGGGATCATGAACAGGTACTGTTTGTGGGATACCAGCTCTTTATCTAGAGGACGGGAGATTTCCAGAAGTGTGCTGGACAGTCTACCAAAACGCGCTCGAAACTTACTAGAAAGAGCACGGCTGCCGCCTCTTCCCTCTTCCTTCGATCGTGGGTGAAGTAGCACCTCGTCTCCGGGCAGTGGGCGGCCTTTAAGTCAACGCCCCCGCCCACGCGCACCCACCACGCCTGGCTGAACCACGACGTCCAGAACAGCACCAATTTCCTGTCCTGGCGTGAGTCACGAGCCGAGTCGTAGCCGTCCATCAGGTCCCGGAGCTTCCTCATGACGGTGGCGCTGAGGCGGCGCTTGCTCCGGACGTAGACGCCCTCCGGGAGGTCCTCGTAGTAGTCGTAGTTGATGTCGTCGTTGATGTATTTGTTAACAAACTCCTCGAGCACCTTGTGGAGAGCGGCCCACGCCCTCTGGTACAGCAGCACGCTCACCTGGCCCAGCACGCACAGCGCCAGGAGGCCGAACCACCAGACCAGCCGCTTCCTCATCGCGCGGGACCTGGGGGAGGGATCGAAAAGTCTTAGAGTGGCGTTGAGTTCCTCTGAGAACCCATATACCGTCAATCTAAACAATGCTGTGATATTTCTTTGATGTGAGAACTGGTTAACTTATAATATCCATGGGATGTGACTGACAGCATAACAGGCACATCACACGAACCCTGCAAACGAGCGAACACATCACACACGGCTGGCGATCACATAGATGATTATACACACATACGGACAAATAAATTGACAGGCATATGAACAGATAAACTCACACATATGAACACATATACGAACAAATAAACACACATACGAACAAATAAACTGACACACACATACGAACAAATAAACTCACACACATACGAACAAATAAACTGACACACACATACGAACAAATAAACTGAACACATACGAACAAATAAACACACACACGAACAAATAAACTCACACATATGAACAAATACACGCACTAACCCCAAACAAAGAAATTACACACACTCGATTATACATAAATCTCCAACTTTCTCTCTTCGACATTCATCGTCATAATTACATTTCCGACAACCAGAAGAAGCCACAGAGGAAAGACAAAAAAAAAAAAAAAAAAAAAAAAAAAAAAAAAAGATTATGAACTTTTAATAATTCATGAAAGTATTTTTCGAGAATTACCTCCTCGGGCTGAAGAAAACTCGGGTCAAGGACTTGGGTTCAGACCGAGGAGAGTCTTTCAGCGAAATGATTTGTTTGCTGCGGCATCAATACGTCGGATCGTTCTCTCTTTTCCTTTCTCTCTTTTCTCTTGTTTTGTTTTTTCTTTTCTTTTCTCTTTTTCTCTCTTGTGTTATGTCTTTTCTCTTTTTTCTTTTCTCTTTTTTTCTCTTTCTCTTTCTCTTCTCTCTCTCTCTCCTCTCTCTCTCTCTCTCTCTCTCTCTCTCTCTCTCTCTCTCTCTCTCTCTCTCTCTCTCTCTCTCTCTCTCTCTCTCTATCTCTATCTCTCTTCTCTCTATCTATCTCTCCTTCTTCTCTTTTCTTCTCTTCTTCTCTCTTCTCTTCTCTCCTCTCTTCTCTCTCTCTCTCTCTCTCTTCTCTCTCTTCTCTCTCTCTCTCTCTCTCTCTCTCTCTCTCTCTCTCTCTCTCTCTCTCTCTCTCTCTCTCTCTCATCTTTCTCTCTCTTCCGTCCCTCTTCCCTTTTCTCTCCCATCTCTTCTTTCCTCTTTCTCCCATCCCTCTCTCTCTCTCTCTTCCCTCCCTTCTCCTTTACTTTTTTTTTCGTTCACTTCCTCGATCTGTCTTTATCCCCCCACCCCATTTACTTTTTTCTTACTTCCTAATGTATTCCACTTTTCTATAACTTTCTATCTATCCGTCAGTCTTGTTGTGTATCTGTCTATCTAAAACTTATTGAATTTAATTTTTTTTATCGATGTATCTATCTACTTGTTTGTCTATCTGTTCGTGAGTCCACTTATCTACTCAATATATATATTTTTTTTCGCTTCTGGACCCTTTCCCCCTCTCTCATCTCCCCTTCCCTCCCCCTCTCCTTCTCTCAGTGTTCTTTCTCTCTTTCTCCCCTTTTTTAACCGCCTCTTCCCTCCTTTCTCTCGTCAGCTCTCTTCCAGTCCCTAGTCCTTCCGCCTCTCTCTCGCTGACTCTCTCTCTTTCTCTTCTTCCCTCCCTCTCCCTCTCACTCTCTCTTTCTCTCCCTCCCTCCCTCTCTCTCTCTCTTTCTCTCGCTCTCTTCCTCGGCACCTGCGCTTGGCCTCCCCTTCGCTCTCCCTCGGCACCAGCCCAGTCACTGCTTTACACAAACTCCAGTAGTGACGTCACAGTCATGTGATCAATAGGGGAAATTCTAGCATCTATTGCACAATTGGTTGGGGTCAAAAGGGGGGAAAAGTTGACCTCAATGCATCGCTTCGGTAAGAGTTGATAGCGAAAGCAAGATGGATTAGTGTGCTTGATAAGCTGATAAGATGCGTAGAGAGAAGGCACAGGGAGCTTACCGTCTAGGCATACAGACACAAAGGCACGTGTAAGTAGAAATATAGGCTGTTTTATATAAAGCATGATACTTACGATTCAGATCTCTGAGTGTTAGCTCTATAAGGATACACAATGATAACCATAACTATAATGGTGGACCAACATATAACTAAAAACAAACCTAAACACACATATATATAAGTGTCCAGCAAGATAAAATGATGCAGAAGGGGTTTAAAAAAGAGGAGAAAAAACATATGGATACACACCGTCTTTCTTTCACTGCAGCTTATTCCCGGGGCTCAGCACACCTCGCAGACGTGGCACTGTTTACAAACGGACTCGCTGGCACTGTTTACAAACGGACTCGCCATAGCCTGGGACACAGACTCCCCGACGCCGTCCCTCTCTGACTCACTGCAGCGAACATACTAATTCATCGCAGTCGCTTCACACTCATTCACACTGACGGGCGCTGTGTCTCCCCGGAACATCGCCTCGTCACTGCCACACACCGGTTCAGTTCCCCACGACCATGCGCTTCGTTGACTGGCGTCGCTCTTCTCGTTTTGGCATTTTTGGGATTGTAATTTATTCATGGCTGTTTTTGTTCTGACTCAGCATGTCTCCATCTGTCGTTTTGGCATTCCTTTGACTCATCTGATTCACTGATACTCATCCAGTGATTTACTATAGCTTATATTCGAATGATTTACTCACAGCCATGAGTAAGTCATTGACTCATTATACAGTACCACAGTGGAACGATGCTTATTTATTCATGACCTATCATTCACTCGTCAAAGCTCATTCAGACTCACCACAGGTCACTTATTCACCTCAACTCACTCCCCATACTATACTGACTCACCAAAATCGCCTTAACGATGCCTACTACGACTTCACAAAACTTATTCACCAATCCATTACAATACGTAATTTTTACTCGCCACACATCACTTACTCACCAATTCGATAATGCAGAACTGGATAGCGTGTTGTTGAGCCGCGTTGCAGATTTCCCACAGTGTTTCGTCCTGTTGCAGCGGCTTCCGAGTGTGTGTTGTTATTGATCAGGTGAGAGTGTCGGATCCGCAGTGGAGGCGGACTGGTCTCTCTCCGCATCCTCGTCGCCGTCCGCGTGCCGTGTTCCCCTCGTCGGCCGCCCATGCCTTCCTTGTGCTCTTCCGGAACACTGCGCACTCGAACGGCCCTTGTGTTCGGCCCGAGGAGCGCTTGGTAACACTCGAGCCAGCGGCCACCCGGCTACGGCGGTGCTCTGTTCTTAAAGGATTCTTGTTATGATTTCATAACTTGACCGGGCTTTGTTATCTCATTGTTATGCTGCATCCGGAAGCTGCAATCCGAACGCTTGCTAATAACGCTCGGGATATTCTGGAAGGAAATACAGGGAGATTAGTACACGGTAAGATGCTGTTGCTTTAAGCATTGGCGTGGAAGTCGCTGTGTGCACAGAGGTGTGTGAGCACCAATTAAAACTTCCACAGGTTTCAACACTTAGAAGTTAGTAATAAGCTTGTAGTGCTATGCTTAAGGCAGAACAGACGTACATAAATGGACATTAGGTTTATAGACATTCGCCTGTAGAGCTCTAATGAACTAAGCTTTGCATGAACAATGAGGAATTGAGCGCCTGCTTGAACGCCTGGTGCATGAGGCTCTATGCAAGTACCCAGAGAAACGCGGGCGTGCAAACAAGTGTTTTGTTTTGTAAATAACGTCTTGTATGTCTTTACGCCCAGTAGACATCGATATTTGGGAATTCTCGCCCTAAAAATGGTCATTGTTCATACAGACACAGCTTGATTGCCTAAAGGGAATTGATCATCGTGCATGCAATTCGAGAAACAGGAAAACAATTGTCTTCATTAGCACATGGTAAACAGTAATTTTTAGTAAACACTTTGCTTATGTCCTCCTTTTGTATAAAAATGATACTATCAATAATATAAATGGTAAAAGCATTCCATGAAATGTACCTCTGATCGCCTTTGCCTCCATTATTTTTTTTGTTTTTCTTTCGTAAACACCAACTAATTCACGAATGCGGGCCAACATTTGCGCAGCGTGGTTTGCGGAGACATTACTCTGATTACACCTTCGGGGAAACACGAGATGAGGCGACTCGCTAAGCTTACAGAAGGGTACCTTTAAAAAAACCGACGACAAGCCACAACACCACCACAGTTGACACGCCAGGGTTTCAGCGCCGTCTGGTATGGCTTGTAGTTCCAGCTGAGGGGGAGAAGGGTAGGGGCGTGGTGGTTGGGGGCTGGGGAGGGGGGAGGGGGTGCGCGGAGGCTGCACTCAGAGGGGATGCGCGGGATCTTCGCTTATAAGGATGGGGGGGGGGGTCCTTGCGGGGAATGGGCTGGGGCGCGTTTGTATGGGAGTGGGGTTAGTTAGTTTACATGGGAA